TACTGGAGTGCTCTAACGATAGCCACTTGTGGTTTTCCAGCCAAATATAAAAAAATCACACTATCACGCTTGAATTCCGTCACGAATAACTTTTTTTCTGGAAAATTCTCACCAAAATATTTTATGAGAGTTAAAATTATTAAAAATGTTAACCTTCTGTGGAGGATGTGAATGTAGCCCATTATATCTAGGGTTGGTAAAAATATTGAGATATACGAAGTTAGAATACATTGCTAAATTGATCTGCATTTGTTGGCAGTTTAAATATTGGGATTATTTGTGGTGCAAAATAGTCTCAGCAATAATCGGATTAATCCTGACTATTTTGCAACAACAAAATACTACGGTATCCCGAACGAACATGCCAACAATGTTCTAATAGGATTATTGGTATAAATATTAGGATTTCCGAACTTTAAACCTAATCGTATGATACTTTCTTTTTTAACATTTTATGGGGTAGGTACCAGTATGAGGGGACTCTTTAACTCGATCTAGGTTAGATAATAATATTACGATGTGCCACGTTTAAACGAAATCTGATAATCGGAAAAATAAAGTCAAACCGACTGGGTAAACTAACAACTCAAACAACTCGACCCCCTCTAATAAACATTAATAAAATGCGAACTACGTTTTTGGCGTGGATATTCTTTTCGAGCGACTTCATTCGGGGCGGCATTGAACATGTTTTCTGTTCGCTGCAGATTAAAGCACGCATGTATTTTGTTGATTTATTATGGCCTCCAGTTGTTGTCTTGTCTTGCCCATGGTCCAGCTGTAGTTGATGGAGTTGCTGTTGAAAAATAAACGCACGTTTTTAAACCAAAAACTTATATTTGATTTTGTTTTTTACAATAAAAGTGTCATTTAATCTCAAATAACCCCCACCCCACCAAAAAACAATGACAAACATTGACATTCATAAAGTTTTCAATGGCGTTTTCTTTTGAAGGTTTCTTTTTTTTTGTATCTCCTTTTGATTTTTCTCGTGTTTTCTTTAAGCGAGGGTAAAAAGTTTTTCTTCACTCACTTACGCACATAAAAATCAAATGAAGTGACCAACCGCCATCGCTTGCTCTTGGAATTCCCTTCCTGTTGCCTGAGTTATTTTCCATGTTTATAAAAATGTTTTGGTTTTTTTAGTTTTGCCGCTCAAGCTTGAATTCCTTCAGCATAATTTTCCTACAACATCGCAGGTGATGTGAAAACTGAATGTTGACAATTTAGAACTTATTAAAAAGTTTTATGAGCAACAAAAAAATTAACTTCAATGTAGTTAAGGTAGAACAACAACAGTATCAAGAGGAAGTGCACAGGTGAAAGCAAAATGCGAACCAGGACATGGACGAGCATGCTCCATTAGCGGAGAAGAATGAATAAAACGGAATTTAATTCTTGATTTTAAGGCAATTTGACTAATGTGAAAAAATGGGATTTCTTAAGATCTTCGAGTTTTGGAAGGCTCTTAAAGGACATCGTTCTGAAGATCTCTACCACCTTAAAAAAGTGTTCACACAATGTTACAAATGTTCTATAAAAAACTCTTCAAAAAAATCCTTCCAACGATTTGAAGAACTTACAAAAAAGGTAGGCTAAATTTGTTCTCTTGTGAGATATTCGATAGTTTTGTAGATCTGTTGTTTATAAAAGAAGCTATGTCAATTATTATCAAATGTACAAATCGAATATTTAGCATAACCGTTAACAGAGCTCTGTTGTCGTCCAAATGCCGAGCTGTCAACTTCGACCCGAATATTAATGGGGCAAATTGCTACGAAGTAATCAGTTCGAGGTTCTATTGAACCAAGATCTGGTACCTCCCCCAAAAAGGGCCAAAATTTTGAAAATTTATGAAACTCATAAAACTCGAAATTAACATTCGGTTCTCTTCAAGTTACACACATCACAATTTTTTTATTTACCGAAGGTCTGGTGTGAATATGGAATATAAAGGTCTACTCCTCCTAGTACCTCCCCCACAAAGGGTGAACATTTTGAATATTCATGAAGCTCATAAAATACGAAATTATTATCCGATTCCATTCAGACTTGGAACATCTCAATATTTCCATCAACTCAAGATGTGTTATAAAGATGATAGAGATCGGGCCATTTTTTCTGGTACCTCCTGCATATAAGGCTCAAGATTTAGAAAAACTAAACGCTAAAAGAAAGCGAAATAAGCATCCAATCTCTTCAAATTTTACATATGCAGGGTGAGATAAAAAAAAAAAAACTGCAACAAGGTCAAACGCCATAATTTTTAAATTTTTTCTTAAATTTTATTGAATGAAAGAAAAAATGTCGGAAATAGCATCAAATTTTAGAATAGGTTTAGATTTGTTCGAATTGGTCACCTTTGGCACGAATTGTGGCCTTCAAACGGCCAATGAAAATGAAACCGTCATACGCTGCCCGAATGTTGCTCTGCGATATTTTGGCCCATTCCCGGCGAAGCGCTTGCTTGAGGTGATCGACATTTTGGTATTTTTTTAGGGCCAACCTTGCTTTCCAAAATACTCCAGAGACAATAGTACAACGGATTGGTATCCGGAGATTTTGGGAGCCATTGTGCGCAGGAAATGAAGCGAGGAACCTCATTTTGTAATCATTCTTGGATGGCACGTGCTGAGTCCTGTTGTCCAAGGTTTTAATACACCCTCCAGAATATTTTCGCGATAATATTCGGCATTTATTCTGATGCCACGGTCGATTAATACGAGCAGAGAGCGACCATCGGCTGTAATGGCGGCCCAGAAGGTGCACATTTTCAGCTGACCTCTTTGGCTAGTAAACACGATCACTTTGTTTGTTTACAAACTGCTGGACAACGAATGTTTTCTCATCGGAGAAACCCAAATTTGGCAGTTCACCACTTTTGGCCAAGCGAAGCAACTCATTAGCTCTTTTAAGTTTATTTTCTTTCTTTTGTGGTGTAAGTTCTTGCACTTTTTGGATTTTCAATGGCTTTACCCCGAGCTCACTTTTCATTATTTGCCTAATGGAATCCGTGCTGGTTCACGCCTTCGTATAGCCCCCATATAATGGTACCTCCTAATATTTGGTATATTGATGATTTTGGCGACATTATTCACCGGAATTGTTTCAAATTTGGTATTTGAAATTCGTAATGGATACTACAGCCTAAGACAGAAAATTGTCTGTGCAGGTCCACGTATTCGTATAGCCCCCATTTAACAATACCTTTCGATATTCGGTATTTTGATAATTTTAGCGACATTATTCACCAGAATTGTTTCAAATTTGGTATTTGAAGTTCGTAATGGATACTACAGCCTATGACCGAAAGTTGTCTATGCAGTTCCAGGACTTTGTATAGGCCGATTTTGACGATTTTAGGAACAATACTCACCGAAATTGTTTGAGAAGTCGTATTTGAAGTTCGTAATGCCTATGCAAGTCCAGGCCTTCCTATAGCTCCGATGTAACGGTACCTCCCTATGTACGGTATTTTGATGATTTTAGCTACAACAATGTATGTCCACGTCGTATAGACCTCAATATAACGTCTATATTCGGTATTTTTAAGATTTTAACAGAATTTTTAGCGGCTTTTATTTTTTGAAAATTTTTTAATTCGTTCAAATGGAGGAGGGTATTCAAACTTCGGCCCGGCCGACTTGTTTGTTTGTTTTTTTTTTTTTTTTGAAAATTTCGACATTTTGTGGGGGAGTTACCAGAAGGAGTGGATCGATATTGCCCATCTCTGAACCCGGTCTAAGTTTGGTAATAATACTACGATGTTTCAAGTTTGGACCAAATCGGGTACTCCCTTCGAAAGTCATTGTATGCACCACCCAGCCAGCAACGGACGGATGGACATCGTTAGATCGACTCCAAATGCCCTGAAACGGATTTGGTCGAAACAGACCGAGGGTCTAAATCTGTTACTTCGATGAGCACGTTTTGGCCGTATCAATTCATATATACCCTCTCTAGCCAATGACACAAGGTGAAGGAAGCAGTCGATTTAGTCCAAACCTGGCACGTTTCAACATTTATATCATATTTATTTAGGTCTGATACGAAATGGAGAATATTGGCCCATTCCTTCGGAACCTACTCCATAGAGGGTCAGCAATTTGAATAATCATAACAGAAGGCTAAATATATTTAAATAATCGAACATTGACTGAGGGTAAACATCTGCCGGCAAAACCGACTAATGCTTTTTAACTTTTTTATAATATTTTTGGGATCGTCAACATATAATTTTGGCCGAATATCTGGGGCCGGTTTCTGTAAGGTAAAGCTAAATCCGAATTAAAACACATGAAATTTTTTAAACTAATTCAAGTCCGACAAGTCATTTTTTCCGGTTCTCTGACCCACGACATGGTTCGATGTATTTTTTCTGCCGGACATGCATTTTCGATTCATTCACCTTTCATTTTGGACAATAAACATTAAAATAAAGCAATTCTAGACTTGAACTTTAAAAAAAACGATTCACATCAATTGCAAATGGCAGAAAGAGAAAGAAGGAGAACATAAAAACGTATGCCTACATACGGATGCGGGTGAATGTAAATAAAACGTGATTGGTAATAAAAAACGACATTTAATTTAGACGGCACCTGTGTTGCATGAAGTTTCGCTTCTGTCCGTATTTCGGGTGATAAAACTCGACGGCTATCATTTCCATATCGCAATGCAAACAAAAAGAAAAGAAGTATAAAAAGTTACCATTGCAAGCTTTGAATGCTAAAACTGCGCAAACTCAGCAGGACCATGTTGTGTGTGTGGAGTGCGTACGACTAGAACTCCATTTCATCAGGCGTAGCATAGCAAACAAATAAACTCTGCGTTTCATGTTGATAGTTAGCCAGCAGGAACGTGACATGCATGGCATAATGAAGCCCTCTAAGATAAGCAACGTGATGGATAGCCAAGCGGGCAGAGTCAGCCCTATGGCGCTGGCGATGTCTTCTGCTTCTATAAATACGTGCAAGTAAAGTGAAAAGGAAACTCAGTTCACGTTCAGCCAACAAACGGCAACAATATGACGCCGTGCCGCAGCAATGGAAATCGAAAGTTATTATTTTTGGCCATATTGGTGACTACTGTAAGCGTTTATACCCAGGCGGCAGCCCTGGAGGCACGTGAAGACCTTGAAGTTCTGTATCCTCCTCAGTTTACCACCAATCGTATTGTGGGTGGTGAAGATGCCCCCGAAGACTTGGCACCCTATCAGATCTCATTGCAAAGTTTAAAGGGTCGCCATTTCTGTGGTGGGGCCATTATCGACAAACGGTGGGTAATAACAGCCTCCCATTGTGTGGCCGGAGCCAAGCCGGAAAAACTCAAAGTCCTCACCGGGGCCTATAATCTTAAGAACCATACCGGAAAATACTACTTTGCCGATCGCATTGTAATGCATTGCAGTTACAACAATCCCGCCTATGCCAATGATATTGCCCTGATCCATTTGAACAGATCCATTGAATTCGATGAACACACCAAGGCAGTGGAATATGATAGTGAACCGTTGAAGGATGGCGATGAGTTGGTGCTCACTGGTTGGGGTACCCTATCGCTGGGTGGTGAGGTGCCACAAATGTTACAAACTCTAACGGTGAAGTATGTTCCATTCAAGGAGTGTCGGGCTGCTCATGACAACAGCACTTGGGTTGATATTGGCCATTTGTGTACGTTCAACGATAAGGGCAAGGGTGCCTGCCATGGCGATAGTGGTGGTCCATTGGTGCATAATGGTAAATTGGTGGCTTTGGTGAATTGGGGTCGCCCCTGTGCCAAGGGCTTCCCAGATGCCCATGCCAGAGTTTCGTATTATTATGATTTCATACGCACCACCTTGAGTGGATGTCTTCGTGAGCCAGAAAAGCCCAAAGAGCCCGCCAAGGAGCCACCAAAGGAACCAGAGAAAGAGCCGGCAAAGGAACCACCAAAGGAACCAGAGAAAGAGCCAGCCAAGGAACCACCAAAGGAACCGGAGAAAGAACCTGCCAAGGAACCTTCAAAAGAGCCCGAAAAAGAGGGAGAAAAGGAAGGTGAAAAGGAGGGCGAAAAAGAAGAGGAAAAAGTAACATCTGCCAGCAGTAGTGCTTGAGATGATTGATTAAAATCCACTTGGTATACATTTATTTAATTTAAAATTAGATTTAAGGACTTTGAAAAAAAAAAAATAATTTCAATAAAAATTAAAAAAAAATCTTTTGAACAATGTTTAGAAAAAGAAAGTAGACAATTTTTAACGGGAATCATGTCTAGCATTTGTTGAAGTTCATGGATTAAAATTCGATTCGATTCAATTCACGTACAACTTTTCGAAAGTATTGAAAGTGAAATGAAAATAAAAGTATCTCAAAGGCGTTTTCAAGGTTACATCAAAATTCACAATTAATTACCTTCTGACTAATTTATTCGATATTTACTTCGACTTTCGTTTGAAATTATTTATCAAAGACAAATCTTGTACTCGATGATTTTTCTGTCAGGTAAAACTTCGATTACGGGATATGGGGCAACAACTGATCCAAGAACAGAATGGAAATAAGATTTTGTGGACTTATGTTGTGATATTATATTTATAACCTACACCACAAGATGGTCAGGGTATTATGTCCGATTTACCTTTTATTGAGCACCAAACGTCTAATATTTGCCCAAATGAGATGGAATTTGGCACATACGACCGAACTGAGTCTAGAAGCTATTATGCCAAATTTGCTGAAGATCGGTTCAAATATAGCTATAGCTCCCATATATATTGTTCATCCGATTTGTTGTATTTGTTACCCACAGCCATAATTTGCACTCCGTAACAACGATATTGAGGGAAATATATCAAATACAGCTCAGAAACATCTTTGCCAAATTTTATCGAGATCGGTTCAGATTTGGATATAGCTCCCATATATATCTTTATCCGATTTAAAATTAATTGTGCACCAAATGGGCAACACAATTCCGAATTTAAAAGATACAAATGCTTCGGCATATTTAGTACTTTGAACTTTAAATTACGATTATAATCATAGCGTGTGTGATTAAATTCTCCCATAAAAACTTTTAATTGTTATGTGGAGCTCTACTAAATTAGCAAAGTGGTGTAGGGTATCATTAAGTCGGGCACGCCCGGACTTTCTTTACTGGTTTTATATTCCATACTTTCGAAAAGTGTTTCGAAATTTTGTTTTTTTTTCGGAAGTTTTTAACATCTCAAAATATTTGGCTTAGACCACCTTTTATACCTTTAGCCATATGGTTAGAGGGGGAATATATCATTTGATAATGTCTCTTCAGGACATTTAGAGTCGATCTAGCGATGTTCGTTCGTCCGTGCGTCTGTCTGTCTGCCTGTATTCAATTTGGTCCTAAATTGGTACATCAAAATATAATTGTCAAATTTTGATCGAGTTCGGAGATGGATTTTGCTCCAACTTTGCAAATCCTAATATTTGCATCAACGCTAGGTCAGGTGTGAAAATGGGCAATATCGGTCCACTCCAATTAGTACCTTCTCCAACAAGGGTGACAATTTTAAATAATTGTAACTCTTAAAAATTATGATATAAGATTCCGATTGTCTTCAAATTACACACATCACAATATTTTTATTAAGTCAAGGTTTGGTATGAAGATGGAATATATCGGTCCTCTCCTTTTGGTACTTCCCCACAAGGGTCAAAACTGTGAATATCCAAGAAGCTCATAAAACGCGAAATGAACATCCGATTCCATTCAGACTTTGCACATCTCAATATTTATATCAAACAAAAAATATGTTATAAAGATGGTTAGGATCAGGCAATTCCTTTCACTACCTTCCTCACAAACGGTCAAAGTTTCGAATCACCGAAACCATTATCCGAAATAAGAACCCGGTTCTCTTCATATTTCACACATCCCATTGCTGGGTGAGATAAGTTGACCACCAGAACTCAAGCGCCGTCCATGGTGCTGATGTGGGCCGCCATAATAGCTGATGGTCGCTCTCTGCTCGTATTAATCAACCGTGGCATCAGAATAAATGCCGAATATTATCGCGAAAATATTCTGGAGGGTGTATTGAAGCTACGCAAACATTTTCCCCGCAGACCTTGGACATTCCAACAGGACTCAGCACCATCGCACTCATCACGTGCCACCCAAGAATGGTTACAAAATGAGGTTCCTCGCTTCGTTTCCAGCGCACAATGGCCACCAAAATCTCCGGATACCAATCCGTTGGACTATTGTGTCTGGATAATTTTGGAAAGCAAGGTTGGCTTCGCCGGGAATGGACCAAAATACCGCAGAACAACATTCGGGCAGGGTGTGACGATTTCATTGTCCGTTTGAAGGTCATAATTCGTGCCAAAGGTGACCAATTCGAAACAATCTAAACTTATTCTAAAATGTGATGCTATTTCCGACATGTTTTGCTTTCATTCAATAAAATTTAAACAATGTAAAGATTATGGCGTTTGATTTTGTTACTGTTTTTTATCTCATCCTGTATGTAGTTTGTAGTTTCAACAAAGCTCTCAATATGAAATTTTAGAATTTCTCTTCTATCCCTTCACTCAATACCAAATTGAGTACCATTTAGTACTTTTCGTACAAAAATATAGGATTTATTTCCAAACCACCGCCAAATCTCAAACACAGATACAATCATTAATCTAAAGATGAAATTTCAGAATTGTATGTTTATTCCTTCACCCAATAAAAAATTTAGTACTATTTAGTACTTTTCGTAAAATTATATAACACATTTCCAAAGTCCCCTTTATATCTCAATTCCAGATACCAACAGAGACCTTAACATCAAATTTGAGCAATCCAGTCCTACCGCCTCAACCAATACCAATTTTAGTACCATTTAGTTTTTTTTTCGTATACTTTCGTAACATAGAACGCATTTCCAAACTACTGCCAAATCTGGTACACAGATACCACCAGTACTTTTCTGACAATTACAGTACACATTTCCGAAACCACTTCTATGCATGAACAACGACCCTAATACTAAAATTTCAGATTTTAAGCACTATCTGTTCACCCAATACTAAATTGTACCAAATATAGTACTATTTAGTTATTTTCTTGCACTTGTAGTACCCATTTCCAAAACCTTCTCTATATCACAAACCAAACACCAACAGGCACCCCAATACAATATTTCAAAATTCCAGGTTCATCCGTTTACACTTTACCAAACTGTTCCATATTTAATAGCAGTTAGTACAGTTCAGGATGGGGGTGGATCCAAATGAGGGGGACAATGTTGTCCATTTCGTTTCTGACCTAAGTATGATATAAATCATCATTACATGAAAAAATGTATTAATTTTTGGAAGATTGGGAAATTTGCGAGATGGACCGAAGTATTCCACTCCACCTAATACTGAAAAAATATTGGGATGAGCATCTAACATTTATTTCCAAGTTTATATGAATAATTGATTAAAATGTAAACCTACCAGAGGAAGTGGACCGATATATCCCATCTTCACGCCAGGTCTTGTATTACCAGAAATATTGGTGTGTTCCGAGTTTGGACATAATCGGATGCTCATTTCACGTTTATGACCTTCATAGTTATTCAAAATGTTGACGTCTTGTGGGAGAGGTACCAGAAGAAGTGGACCAATATGGACAATATAATCTGATTGATATGTGTTGATAAAAATATTGGAAAGTGCAAAATTTTAGTTTAGAATACAACTGATAATTACTATGAGGTTTTGCAATTTGAATGTCAAATTTAATATGCCCTATAAATTATTGTTGCTGGGTATAGCAAATTCTTGAGGAAAAATATATATTATCCCACTCCTCCTCTTTCCTATCTATAAGTCATACTTTCTTCATTAAATTTTCTGTGTCCGACTTTCACCTTGAATATATTACTATTTCATAGCATTACTTAAAAAACATATTTTTTTCAACAGTAAAATTTATCGAATTACAGAATTTAATTCCGGGTGTTTACTTGTGGGCGTACATAATTCACAGCCATATACAGCAAATGGCTAATTAGTCAATTACAGTGAAAAGCAATTCAATATTTATTTGTAAATACAAACACACACATACGAACACACAAATATATACATTTTATTAAACCACAAATCTCCGTCCGTTTTATGGCTTTTAAATTGAAAAAAAAAAAAAATATTAAGAGACTATTAATAATTACATTATCAATGGCGTAAATGAACTGAATACGAATATATTTATTCATTGAAAAGGATTTTTGTAACTGTTATTTAAGGGCGATGATTTGTGATTTAAAGTTATTTTAAGCATAAAATTGTTGTGGTGAGTTGGTTGAGAAGTAAATGTTATTTTTAGAAGAGGTTGAATGTAATTATTATTTATATTAATAAAAGGAAGCCGCAAGACTTTTATATGTACATAGAAAGCTTTTGCTGGAAATTCTATGCATAGAAAGCCTGGTATAAGTCTTTTATTAATATAGAGGACATTGTTTATGTTTTCTATAAATATAATACTGTTATTTATTTTTATGTAAATATAACAACTTTTGTATGTCCTCTAAAAATTAAAGTCCTTCTATAACATAATAAATTCCTCAGCGAGGAACATCATTTTGTAACCATTCTTGGGTGGCGCATGCTGAGTCCTGTTGAAATGTCCAAGGTCCGCGGCCAAAATGTTTGCCTGCCCAATGCTTTAATACACCCTACAGAATATTTTCGCGATAATATCTGGCATTTATTCTGATGCCACGGTCGATTAATACGAGCGGAGAGCATACATAAAAGGCCTTGTATAGATCGTCATAAAATAAGCACAGAGTGGTGAAATCACCAAAAACGGAGATTAATTTAAAAACATAAAATTCATCTATTCATCTAATGTTTTTAAACTATTGTAGAACTAAAATCTACTACTACTTCTACGTTGTTTAGTTTTCTAAGTAAAAAACATGTTTTTGGTTTTTTGAAATTTAATATTTTAGTTTTTTTCTTATCAAAAGTTATGATTTTCAAATGGAAACATGGAATACATGTAGTTATCAGTGTTTTAGATTAAAGAAGTTTAAAAAACAATTCTGTATAAATACGAGTATGTAAATGTTTTTGCCATATCCGAGTTAAAAAAAATAATATCAAGAAGGTCCTATTTGTTATACTC